AAAGTTTATGGAAGATGCAAATTATGAGAAAACTATGTATTTTCAATTTTTTCTGCACCAACATAAGATTATCTTTTAGTTCTGTGTTCCCATGGACTTTTTGGAAGTGCCCTCATGAATATCTAGTTCCTGAGTCATCACAAAGTCAATTGCAGGTCAAGAATTAGAACACCACCAACAGCCCATGGATCCTCTTTTTCTGTCCTCTCGATAATTCCTTCATCACACGAAAGGGCAGCTGCTTTGAAGAAAGCATCCCATTGGCGTCTGACTTGCGTTCTTGTTTTGAAAGGATGGCTGTTGGCCTCACTGCATCTTTGAAGGCAATTTGCCTTTTATTCCAGGGATACTTAACATTTTTCCTTTGTGTCTGGTTTTCAGTAATTGTGTCATGATTTGCCTCCATAAGGATTTGTTTGCCTTTCTTGGAGTTCATAGAACTTCTTGAACCTACAATTTTTTTTTTCATTAGCTATTATTCTCTTCAAATGTTCCTTTGGTCTCATTCTTTCTCTCCTTTTTTTCTGGGATTTCAGAAACATCATAGAACTTCTCACTATCTTCCCTGCTCTCTTAACCTTCTTTTAAAGACATTTTGACTTTTTGTCTCTTTATGCTTCAATATTGAGGGTACTTTTTCTTGTCTTCTAACTCTAGTGCATTCAGTCTGTCTTCAGCTGTGTTTAAATTCTTCTCCAATCCATTGACGTTTGAGATTTGGCTATTATATTTTTTGATTACATATTCTTAAGTCTTTTACAGTCTGAAATGTCCTTTAAAATCAATATCTAAGCTGAATTCATTATCTGTTTTTTTTTTTTTTAATTTCCTGGAAAGAGTGACCATAGTTTTGCTTTTATATTGTCTGTTTCATTGCTGTACCAGTGAATACCAGAGGAAAACGATGTTTCCCTACACAGAGGTATTCAGTGTGTTCTTGAGTGGTGGTGGCAAAAGAACCAACTAAGATTCTCTTTAGATTGGTTCCTAGACTTTTTTTTTTTAATAAAAAATGTGATTTATACTGAAGTAGAGGGAACATGTGTGGACTTACAAGACCTATTTGGCAACAACATTATTTTAAAATTTACTCCTGCTAAGTCCAATATCTGGATCTACTGTGGGTCTGTTTCTAGTATCTGTAGGTTCTGCTGTCTCTTGGGATTTTTTTCCTGCTCTCGTGTTGTTTTTCAGAGACTGTGTTGAAAAGTCATTTGCTGAATAATTTGATAGTGCAGGATCGTTTTCTGCAGGGAAGGTTTTTGTTTTCTTCTAAGTGCCCAGCATCTCCCGTGTCTGGAACTGCCATGATCCATTTGCAGAGACTAAAGGTGGCCCCAAGCTGGCTAAAGTCCCTGTGAGTCAGTCTGCTTCTGGTTTGCCCACAATGGGTGGCTCACGTTCTCTTCCCAAGCCCAGGATTTGCGACTTTATCCCTTGAGATAGCAAACAATGTCCTTACCCTGTATGCTGCCTCTTTCTGAAGTGGTAAAGTCCCCAGAGAAAAAAAGCACAAGCATTTTTACTTTTTATTGCCGTGTTAGCTCTCCAGAGCTACCAAGTAGAACATGTGTATATGTACATGTATGTGTGCATGTATGTAAGTTATCCTCAGCAGGAGGACAGGTACCAAATCTCCTGGTCTACAATTATTAGAAGCGAGTCCGGCCGGCGCCGCGGCTCACTAGGCTAATCCTCCGCCTTGCGGTGCCGGCACACCGGGTTCTAGTCCCAGTCAGGGCGCCGGATTCTGTCCCGGTTGCCCCTCTTCCAGGCCAGCTCTCTGCTGTGGCCCGGGAGTGCAGTGGAGGATGGCCCAGGTGCTTGGGCCCGGCACCCCATGGGAGACCAGGAAAAGCACCTGGCTCCTGGCTCCTGCCATCGGATCAGCGCGGTGCGCCGGCCACAGCGCGCCGGCCGCAGCGGCCATTGGAGGGTGAACCAACGGCAAAGGAAGACCTTTCTCTCTGTCTCTCTCTCTCTCACTGTCCACTCTGCCTGTCAAAAAAAAAAAAAAAAAGAAGCGAGTCTTTTAAACAGCCTGTCATCCTGTTTTCATCCATAATAATCATTTTAAAGGGAAAATTGAGTTGTAATATACAGTGACTGCATGCAGATTAATTAATTTCTGTATCTGTCAATGGAAACTTATTAATCACCGAGTGCTGTAAACTGCTTGATTGTTCTCAGACCGACTGCTTGATCCTGTTGTTTGATGTGTAACACAGGTATAGGCTTTCTGATCCTTTGATTTTCAAGTAGATGTGACCAGAGGACCCAAATTGGTAGAAATACTGGAAGAAACATAGGGAAAACACTCAAAAACATTGATATAGGAAAATATTTTTTGGATAAGATCTGAAAGGCCTAGACAACAAAAACAAAAATAAATAGAATTTTGTCAAACTAAGAGGTTTCTGCATTGCAAAGGAAACAACAGTGAACAGACAACCTTGATGAAAAGGAGAAAATATTTGCAAACTATGAATCCAAGGGTTTACTATCCAGAATAGATAATGTACTCAATTCTATAGCAAAACCCCTCAAATAATTCAATATAAAAATGGATAATGATCTGAATAGATATTTCTCTAAAGAAGATATACAAATACCAGCAAGCTTATGAAAATAATACTCAATATCACTAATAATCAGGGAAATAGAAATCAAAGCTACAGTGATTTGTCATCTTACCCCAGTTAGAATAGCTTTATACAAAGACAAAACATAATTAATGTTGGGAAGGATACAGAAGAAGTAGAACTCTTGTTTTTAAAATTTATTTATTGAAAGAGTTACACAGAGAAAGAAGGAGAAGGAGAGAGAGAGAGAAGTCTTCTATCCACTGGTTCACTCCCCAGATGGCCGTAACGTCTGAAGCTGTGCCAATCCAAAGCCAGGAGCTATGAGCTTCCTCAGGGTCTCCCACATGGGTGCAGGGTCCCAAGGACTTGGGCCATCTTCTACTGCTTTCCCAAGTCTTTGCAGAGAGCTGGTTCAGAAGCGGAGCAGCCAGGACTTGACCTGGAGCCCATATGGGATGCTGGCACTGCAGGTGGCAGCTTTACCCACTGAGCCACAATGCTGGCCCCGAAGTAGAACTCTTATATACTCTTGGTGAGATTGTAAATTAGTATAGCCATTATGGAAAACAATATGGGTTTCCTAAAAAAAAAAAAAAAAAACTAGAAATAGAGCTGTCACATGATCCAGTGATCCCATTAGCCAGTATATATCCAAAGGAAATGAAATCATTGTATCAAAGAGATTTCTGCACTCCCATTTTTTAAAGATTTTTATTTATTAATTTGAAAGTCAGAATTACACAGAGAGAGAGGTCTTCCATGCGCCAGTTCACCCCCCAACTGGCCACAACAGCTGCACTGATCCAAAGCCGGGAGCCAGGAGCTTCCTCCAGGTCTTCCCATGTGGGTGCAGGGGCCCAAAGATTTGGGCCATCTTACACTGCTTTCCCAGGCCACAGTAGAGAGCTGGATCAGAAGTGGAGCAGCCAGGACCTGAACCAGTGGCATATGGGATGCCGGCACTGCAGGTGGCGGCTTTACCCACTAAGCCACAGTACCGGCCCCTGCACTCCCATTTTTAATGTAGCATTATTCATAATGTACAAGATATGGAATCTAGCAAAGAGTCTATTGATGAATGAGTAGATGAAGAAAATGTGTATATAAACAGTGGAATATTATTTGGCTGTAAAAAATGAATGAGGTCTTGTTTCAACATGAATAGCACTAGAGGGCATAATGATAAGTGAATAAGCCAAGCAGAAAAGCACAAATGACACATGTTCTCACTCATCTGAGAAAGCAAAAATATTTGTACAGAAGAGGGTAGAACAGTGGCTACTTGAGGCTAGAAAAGTAAGGTAGAGAGTGATAAAGAGAGTTAGTAATAGATAGCAAAATGCAGCCAAATATGAGAAATTAGTTCTATAGCACAGTGGGGTAACTATTCTCTGTAACTATTTATGATGATTTCAAAATAACTGGAAAAACACCTTCAAGTTTCTAACACATAGCAATGTGTTTCTAACACATGTTTAAGGAGATATAAATGCAAATTACTCTGATTTGATAATTATGCACTGTGTACATCTATGAAATTTTTGTACAGTGTCCCATAAATATGTATAAATATTATGTGGTGGTTTAAAAATTCAAATAAAAGGAGGCAGTAATAGGAAGGTAGAGGGTGAGAGTAGGGAAGAGAAATCAAGGTATTCTCACTTCTATTTGTTGCTTCCTGTGGTGTCCTGGATGGTACTCAGCCTCCTCCATGGTTCTAGCTCTTACTGGAAGACCCATTCCTCCCATAACATGTCCACACCTAAGGGTGGTAGCAGCTTCCTCATGTTGCTGACCTGTTCCCTTGGGCTTCTCAACTGTTAAATTACTGTACAGTTACTTTATCTGGCCATAGGATTTTGCTATAACCTGTATTGTATAATAAGTAAAACATACCCTTGGGAGGGTATAGTCCTACAAGTAATAAAAGACATCTGTATAGGAAGAACTTATAGGCCATACATGTTGAGTGTCAAACATAATGATTTAAATGTCTTAAAAGGTCAAAGTAACCAAGCATGGGGGGAACCCCTGGAATCCTCATGGTCTCATGGGGAGGTAAATTGGGCTCTAAGGGATTATGATAGAAAAGAGCAGGAAATACTCCAGGTAGATAGATAGGATGAAAGAACTGAAATAAGAGAATTTGGAAAGCAGAATCTCTTTTCAGAATCTCCATGTGACAGCAGCCTTTGAATTGTTTTCCAGTTCAGACTAACGGCAGATGTGACTTGTTTGATGGTTCTTGTGGTATATGCTGAAGGAACTCTATCAGTTTTGAAAAACCACGTCAGCTGTTTCATATGATGGCTTTCTTTTGGTCTAACTTAACACATTTTCTCCTGCTGGTTCGTGAGCTTGGGCCTCGCTAGCAATTATTCTGTCATTCATTGTAAACATGCTCTGTGTTTTTAGGTGGTGCCCGCGGACAGCTGGTTGAAAGATGCACAATGAATGAAAGCCAAGAGGTTTGTGAGCAAACACATATTTTTCCAGTGAATAAGGATGCATAATGGGGATCATGTATCTGTCTTTCTAAACCAGATATCTCTGTACTTTGGGGTGAGCTACTAGCTGCTTTTTTTTTTTTTTTTTAAGTTACACTGTAGGATCAGCATTCTTCTCCATTTGGTGTGTATTCATGCAGTTAGTGGAAAGAGCCTTGAATTTGGAGTCAGACCTGAGTTAGCCATTTTTGACCCTGCTTAGCTCTTTGATGTTGAGTGAAGAACTTCTTGAGTTTTGCCTTCTTCATATATAGACTGGGAAAAGCAGTGTAATGATTCTGTTGGGATCATTTAGGTGAGAGCACTTAGTAAACTGTCTCACAAAGGTAGCTGTTTCTTGCCCAAACATTAGCTGCCCTCCTGTGTCTGAGCTACTAAGCATGGCCCGATTATAAAATTTGCTGGAGAGAGAGATCATAGACACCTAGATGTACTTCTACACAGCAACCTTGTGCGTGTGGCACAGACAAGGGAGAGTCATGTCATATCCTTTCTTGCTTTGCTTATTTTTCATTTTTCACTTGCCACTCCTAAAGTCTTGGCATCTAGCCCATAGAATATTTGTATTCATTAAGTGTACTATCCACATGACACGCTTGGCTCTCCTTCAAAGGTGGAAGTTGAAATCAATAAATGGTTCTTTATTTGCTTTTTAACTAAGCTCCATTTCCTCTCCTCTCTTATGTCCTGGAATCTTCCTAAGATATATATGGCATGACACATATGTGAAGTGACACATCACTACTCACATGGCCTTATTAGCAACTGATAATCCTAAAATTTCATTTCCTAAAATGGGTCCTCATTGGGTGTCCTTTGCAATCTTGACTCCTCATTGTTAAGTCATCTGCTAAAAATCATGGAGAAAGATCTCAGGGGGCCACCTGCAAGCCTCTGCCTTCCCCACCTGGAACAAATGTAAAATGGATAAGAAGTCACATTATTTGCTCCGGGAATAATACCCTTTTGCACTTTATGCTTGTTTTGTCAACCAGCCACAGAAATGCTATGTTTGACATGAACTTCTTCCTAATTACTTTAATTATTCCAGAGGTTTCATTAGCAATAGCCCTTCCCTGTTCCTAAACACTCTCCAACTCTGTGGAAGGGCTAACATCTAAAAACACCCTCCTAACGGGATCCCTGGAGACGCGGTAAATGCGTGTGCATCTTCTGTTTGTTTCTTCCTTCTCAAATCTTTCAGCCGTTCATACCAAACATGTGAAAAGTCAGAGTATCATCATCATTTCTGAAAGGGAACTTTTTTCTGTTTGAATTTAAGGTTCTTCTCTAAACTCGGATGTGAAAGACAACTGAGTGCTTTTTTTTATTTTTAACTTTTCCTGCAATTAAACCCAGAAAATAATTATGGCCCATATTGTTGATTATGTTAAACAGTTTTCAGCTATCGGCAGACTTTCTCTTAGAGCCTCAAAGTGGCTGACAGGGACCCTTGAGAAGTCAAAATAAGTGAAATAACATCTCTGCTTCTCATCACACTGTTTATTTTAAGCAACATTTGATTAAGCATCTCACAGGAGATTAGAGGCAATGAATCAGAAATGGGAATATGAATGCCATGTGTCCAGTCAGCTCAGGCCACAGTAGCAAAATATGCAGAACAAGTGGCTGCAGCAGCAGCAATGTATTTCTCACAGTTCTGGAGGCTGAGCGTCCAAGGCCATGGTGCCAGCTATTCCCGGCCTTGTGGGGGCTCGCTTTCTGACTTGCAGATGGCCGTCGTCTTGTGTGGCCATTTTCTGGTGAGTGTGCGAGGAGAGAGCACGAGTCTCTTCTTACAGGGGCACCAATCCTAGCATGAGGCCCCCTCCCTCGTAACCTCGTCTACACTCCCAGCGGCCTCATCTGCATACATTATCATACTGGATTAGGGGTTCCGCATGAATTTTGAGGATGGGACACAACTCAGCCCATAGTGTCCTACTAAATCATATGCACCAGTGGCAAGCTAAAGAGAAAGTAGCTACTTGCTAGGGAGGGACCAATGAAAGCCTGTTATAATATTTCATCTTTAGGAGTGGCCATGCAGTGCAGGGACTTCTGAGAGGTCAGTGGTTGCTAAGGGCCTCGTGATGACTAATGTTCACAGTAGCAGGTCTGAGTGTTTAAGAACGATCTCCAGTGCCCTTTGTTGAACAGGACAAGCACGAGGGTAATCTGTTTTAGAATTATTTTTGTCAAGGTACTTAAAATATTGCTGGAACTGGGGGTAGCACTCAATCCTTTGAAATAGCATTTGGACTGGTTTGTTTCCTGAAACCTGACAACCTCATGCGTCAACAAACCCCTTCAGAAAGATTTTCTAGGGTCAGTCAATAGGATACCATTTTCAAAAAGAATAATTTTCTTTGACTACATTATGCAAGAGCTAACAAAATGTATTTTTGAGATTTCCCTCACTGGAAACAGTTCATCAGATTTTTCACTACCTGGCCCTGAGGTTGAAAAAAATGTATTATAGTGCTCTCACCTAAGCATATCTACCTCTGACAAGTCTCTAATGGACAAGTGATAATATCGATTGGGCCTCCATAGAAGAGAAGACCTATGTGTGCCACATTTCTTTCACTTGGGCCAAGGAACGGTGGTTTTCCTTATTTTTCTGCCCTTTTTTATTATTTTTTAAAATTTTTTTGACAGAGTGGACAGTGAGAGAGAGAGAGAGAGAGAAAGGTCTTCCTTTGCCGTTGGTTCACCCTCCAATGGCCGCCACGGCCGGTGCACCACGCTGATCCGAAGGCAGGAGCCAGGTACTTCTTCTGGTCTCCCATGGGGTGCAGGGCCCAAGGAGTTGGGCCATCCTCCACAGCAGAGAGCTGTTTCTGCCCTTTTGTTTGGATGCCTTCTCTCCTGTTAATGGCTATTTCTTTGTAACTGCAAGGGCCAGGTTTCCCTTGTTACTGCCTGCCATACTTACCAGGCAGTTGCATCCACCTCCACAAGAAGGCTTATCTTGCCAAAGCTCCAGGGTTCTCGGAATCAGTTGGCTGCAGTTTTCTGTTATCAGTCCCTACAAAAGTGATGGCCCTGCCAGTGGGACCGTAATAAGGGCAATCATTTGGCAAACGTTCCCCATATTCTGGATGGTATTTGGAAGGGCACAGTCAGCTTTTGCTTCTATAATTCTCTTTTTTATGTGTTTCTTTTTATGTCTATCTGGGCAGTCCCATTTGGTTGATCTGTCCCTTCTTTAGCCATATTATGACTTTTGAGTTCTGGTCTCATCTTGTTGGCTGTGGTACTGAGCTCTGTGGTAAGGTGATGCTGCACATCTGGGTTAGAGCCACTCTGTCCTGATTTTAGAATCTGTGCCTGGATAGAAACTCATTCCGTTGGATCTCTGTTTTTGAGGTTGCCTCTGTGCAGTACCCCCAAATCAACACATGTTTAGGAACAGTGTGGGTAGTGTACTGTAGCGCTGGCCACAGCTAATCTATTAGTGAATCCTAGTGGCTTTGCCTAAAATCATTGTTCCCTTGTTCCATCTACTTGTCTCCAGCTTCCAGCTGTCACTCTGGCTCAGACCGTCCGTCTTACTCCCCTGGGCCCTGCCGTAGACTCCTAACCGTCTTCTAATTTCCTCTCTCATCTACCGCTCTTTTACAACACACCAACCTAAGTGATCCCTTAATACACAAGTATCCCCCTACCATGCTGTTACTCAAATCATCTGCAACCGTTTGCCATGAGAGAATAAGACCCAAATGTGTCAAATTAAAATAATGACCTTGTAGACTCACACGCTCAGTTCCTCATCATCTTTCCTTCTGTCCATTATTTTCTCCTTAATTATTGTCTACTCATCACCCCCCAACACTGTTAGAAAAAGTTCCCCAGAAATGTTGACAGTAATATCTATCCCCGAGTTTAGAACTGTTCCTGGCTCCCTCCATGCCCCCAGTGAATACACGTTGCTTTCTTTGGACGGAATGATTCCTTCTTTCATCCTCACAGAATTTCTTTCAGCATTCAGTGCTGGTATTCTGATCTGCATGTCTGAAAAAGATGGCTTAGTTACCGGCTTAGAGAATGTAGCTATAATGGAACTGAGTTTCGAACCTTGGTCTCTAAGACCCTAAGTTCAGCGTTCATCATGTCACATGTTTCACCACCTCTTGTGATGTGAAACTGTGTGATGATGGTAGGGAGTGCAGGCAGGTGGTATTCTGGGCCTTGGCAGGACAGAATGAAAGTTTTCAAGCAGTTACTGAACCATCTACAGAGAATTGATCAAGATCCCATCATCCCACTAGGGAGAATGTGGAGTCTAGTTTTCTTTCCATTCTGTTCTGAATGAGCGGATAGATTAGTCACCACGTTGTGGTAATTGCTTATTTCCGCCCTGCCTCACAGGCAGATCACAACAGGACAACCAGGTCACAACAGGACTAAAGCAGTCATCCCTCTGTATCCACAGGGGATTTGTTCCAGGAACCATTATATAAAATGCATGGCATTTGCATCTAACCTATACAATTCTATACACTTGAAATCATCAATAGGTTGTTTACAACTCTATTGTTCAAGGAACAATGACAGCCACCAAAAACAATCTGTACATGGTTGATATAGATGGGATTTCCTTTTCTGAAAATTTTTGTTCCCCAACTGATTGAGAAGTTTGGAAATGTGAATCCCAAAAACTAACTGTATATGTGGTCTGTGTTCAGAGACGCAATCCAAGAGGTCAGCCAGGTCAGAATCATTCACTCAAGGATCAGAGTCAAATAACCAGTCATAGGTCAGATATGGAGTGTCAGACATGAAATTGTCAAGAGTTTCAGCAGCAGGATCTTGTCAGTAGACTGCTGGCCCATCACATGAATGTCTGGGTGGTGTTAGACAAGAAGGGCACCGAAGAGTAACCGAGTGCCCTCACTTGGCTCCTGTTGGTGCCTCTGGGGCCAGGGCAAAGACTGTGTCAGGAGCCAGGATAACCC